CTCCGTGGCGAGAAGAGCGCCTTGCCAGGTGAAGGCTGCCTCCTGGGTGAACTACTACCACCATAGTCCTCCTCTGGTCATCCAGCCTCCCTCAGGCCAACTCGTCGACTCCGGAGTTAAAATGAATATCGCCAATGGGGAGCAGCTTGGCGCTGCTTATAGAACCGCCCTGGAATTGTCTGAGGCACGTCTCCTTCGATTCCCATCGATCGGTCCTATTTGAGATCCTATCTGTTCATCAGATCCCGAAGGAACCCGACGTGATGTTTCGCTCAACTGATGTCCCACGAGTCTACCAGAGCGCTGAAGCTTTGGCCATGGGGTTGTTCCCGAAAATCGTCGAGGGTGAGATCCTCGAATATCAGCAGATCATGATGGTCGCTCATCAGGTGATCCGTCGACCCTCAATATCATCATCCCTGATAGGTCGAAAGACACCTTGACACCCAGCGCTACGGTGAGTATCACTCAGAATTATCTGAGGCTAGACTACCGAACTCCGGCTTCTGGTCCTCGAAACCTTGCCACACACCCTCACCGCTTCCCAGGTGTGTCCTCGTCTCAAGAATGCTCTTGATGAGTTCCACAATTCATCTGAAGCCAAGATACGTGCAGAGCGTACGAGCTCCGAACGGACGATCTTGGGCTCCACCACTGGTCGCAGCGAGGCATTCAATACCAATGATCCACGGGACATGCTCAATATCTACGATTCGCTCTTCGTGAGTAGATCACTGCTAGACGACTCTCCTCATTTCCGATCATTCAGGACTGCCTGTCTACCCACGTTTGCTCAACTGTCCCTAGTGAGCCCAAGGATGTCCCTAGAGGTCTAGGCCCGAGTAGTATCTTATTCAAGCATGTTGAGAGGGAGGGGCTGTACGCCGCAACCGTTGGGGTTCCTTTGCTAGGCTATCATCAGATTCTGGTTCATCAATCGTTATGGTACATCCGATAAGATTCGAAAGCTTGCCTATGGGCCCTTCATTCAAGTGAGTTCTGTGAAATCAGGCTTTTGGAGAAGTCTTGAGCTGGTTTTTCTGTACGTGTTTGTGCTCAGGACTTGCTCGAGGATTTGAGTGTCACTAGGAGGCGTTTATCGGTTTATCTTGGTCATGATACTGGACCGGCCAACGCCATCACCGACACACTGCAGTTGACCTGTAGGAGTACATGCTGCGCTGTATGGAGTGTGAGTCCCTCAGGGATGGATTCTGGCAATGCATGCGCTAAGAGCTGGCCACCATTTGGCAGTATGTTGGTAATGGAGATCTACTCCGACGACCAAGTTCGTTTTATTTATAACGGCCGAGTAGCCTCTGTCGAGGCCATCCAAGAATGCAGGGGCAAGTGAGTGACAGAGGCCGGTGTGCTGTCCATGTCCCTACGTTATGCTCATGTTGATTCCCCGCGCGATGGCGTTACCAACTTATTGCCAATTCAGGTCCCTGTGCGGGCTTGCGACGGTGTCCAAATATCTCGCGCTCATCGTGCCCAGCGAGCTTGAATGCGGCAGAAAGATCGGAAAGGTATAATCACGATCGGAAAATGTTTAGCATACCTAGGGATCGTCTAGAGCAATGGGTTTTCTATTCTCTCCTATCCATGATGTTTGTTGTTTGCTCGTGGGTGCCAAGCCAGTTGTTGAAACATATCGACATTGTGTTGAAGTAATTTTGAAGTGGATCGTTGAGGCGTTGGCGAGAAATCAAAGGAACAACGTGCCTCATTAAAACGTATTACTGTTGGTTATTCTACAATTTAATTGAGTACACTTGAGAACACTCAACCGCCAATTGTGGTTTCCATATTGAGCAGTATACAAGAACTATACATCAGAATCGTGTGCATCTAGAGAGTTACAACAACAACCGCATCCAGCGACTGGGCACTCGTCATGATGCGCGAACCACTCTGTCACGTGCTTCAGATGACCACCGTGATGACACGTACTGCACCACGTTACCCATTCGTTCAATGGCAGCCGATGAGCGGCATTTCTGTGAGAGCAGAATAATCAAGCGACAACCGAGAGCCGAGACGCGCTCACCTTTTCCTTGCACCTTGATTCACAATTGTTATTGGCATTAAGCAAAGGGCGCAGTTCGGTACTGGTTTGTGGCATCGTGCATAAGGACATCGCCAAGTGAATGGATCTCGGGTATTATCCATAATAAGTGAGGACATGCCCTGCTGTCCTCTAGAGGGTTGGCCTGAGGCAATACTCTACGAGACACGTAGGGAGCTGTACCTCTTACCTGTGAGGTTACCTCCACAATAGTAACAACATATGATCTGCTGAGGCGCTGAATACCCTGTAGGGGAATTAAGCTGCCGATATTGCTCCAGTTCGGATCGCAAAGACCACAGCTGCCATCGATTGAGCATGGACAAGTACCTGATGATACTTCTACCGACCAGAAAAACCCAAGCATTTCTCACTGGTTAACAATACCGTCAACGAAGGCCCTTGTGTGTGCAGAAGAGGCTAGTAATGGCACATGGCAGAAAATGAGAGCAATTGACTGAATGTCGCCATGGGTCAACTCAGTGTACCTATAAAACCGATGATGCCGCGGGCCAGGCTTTGGGATTATACTTTTTGATAATGTCCGCAAATACGCCCGCGTGAGCTTCTCCTCCGCCACACACGAGGAGGCTGTCCAACAAGCCCTTCGAGAGGGCACTCTGCAATGAGGATTCCAATAGCTCATGTACTCGACCGACCCACAGATACCGCAAGGCCATGGCCAAGCGATAGAGGATAGATGGACCTGTAGGAGAACCATTTCGACTTGCCTTAACAATACACTCACTTGAGCAGTTGGACCGCGCAGAGTCGTCCACACTTTCCTCGGTATGCGATAGAGTAGTGTCCAAGTCTATCTTGAACTGCTCAGAAATGGCATGTGTTGAGGCCTCCACCGAGCTATTAGCTCCAGCAACACCCGCCTTGACGACCTACACCCTAGAATTGACCGAGTGCACCCAGGCTCCATGCATGGTACATGTGTGAGGACTTGAGCAGCTAGTAATATGTCCCCTATGCGGTAGAGATATCCTCGTGCACGGCTAGCTATGTTGGCCAATGCCTCTGAGGCGCCTCGCAAGACGTCAATGCTATCTTGAGGTACTCGTCGTTGTTGGTCTGAACTTGGGCATACTGACAGAGCAAGGGAGACCGCCTACTGAGGGGACGCAGACTGCTGCC